CAAAGGCGAATCCTCCTCTGCTATGCTCACTGAAGCTGGTGTCCCCCAAGGGGCTGTACTCTCCCCACTTCTCTTTTCATTCTTCCTACATGACCTACCATCTTCAAATGACATTAACTTTGTCAAATATGCTGATGACCTAACTGCATCTTTACCTGTCAAATGTCAAAGTGACTGCTCTAAACTAAATGGCTTCTAATCAGAAATCAGCTAGTGGTCCAAGGAAAACGGTCTCACCTTAAACCCCTCCAAATGCCAAACAGTTAATTTCACCTTTAGGCACAAATCTGACCTAAACAAACTGGTTAGCACTCACGAGGTGTGCAACATAGATGGCACTGAAATCGAAACCAAGTCGGAAATTAAATACCTAGGCGTCATTCTATCTGCTGATCTCTCCTGGTCGTCTCATATCTTGATGATTTCTAAGAAAATATTCCATCTTACCTTCTACATCAGGAAGTTAGGACATTCTGGTGTAACCCAACTCTTACTCCTGCAATTTGTTAACTCCCGTATTCTGCCTATTATTCTCTGTTGTTCCCCCTTAGTTTTTCCAGGGCTGGGTACTCAAGAAAAACTATACCTTATTACGCAGGATGTTAAAGGCTGTCAGCAGGGTAAGCAGTTTGCCACAGCCAGCTTGTTAATATTCTGGTCGATTGGCACATGGAATCACGTGAAAAATGGGCGAAATCCATTTTATCTGACTCACAACACCCTCTACATTCACAACTCTCCCCTTGTACCTCTTCAGGGAAAACCAGAAGCTTATATAGAAAACTGTATGCTCGCACTAGTAAGTACAAAAACTCAACCATACCCTACTTGGATCGTGTTCTGTGCGATAAAGGAAGCATTAGGCGTGAAACCTTTAACTTATTAAATTGTCAGTAGAACAAATGGATCTCGTCTTTCCAACTCACATCATTTACAGGTGCAACATTTTCTCCCTTCCTTTTTTTCTGTATTTATTTTTGTTATGTGCTGTTTTGTCTCTCTCTTCCTTGCAAACTCTACTTAAAACATTCTTCTTCGTTCTTTCACACTCTATATATCTCGACCATTTTTCTATCGCTTACGCCAGTAAATATGCTAGTAGTATCTACTTTTCTAACACCTTCAAACACTGTTTAATTGTGTCTTTGCTACCGACATGCTAATATGTTGTTGTCAAAACTGACTGAGATAACTTTAACCTACGTAGAACTTTATTTATTGTTAATGTACTAACTGGATGCAATATTGTAGTAAATGCTGAGAATTCCATTCTGTATCACAAGTACTGTTTTGGAATAAAGCTATTATCTTATCGTACTGCAAACATATGTAATTAATCCCAGCACTACTCCTTTCGTAATCAACCATAGCTAAGACCGTCGAACGGAGAGACGAACTACTCAGGAGTTTATCAAAGGCCGGGAACCTTTACTTCACAACTAAGGAGCGGTTAGGATTCCTGGCTCTCACCCAGGCGGCCCGGGTTTGACTTCCGGCGCAGGAGCGCTTTTTATTGGTCCTATACGCAGATGACTTAAAAATTTGGAGAGAGCTGAGGGGCAACAGTGATACGTTCACGTTGCAAGAGGACCTTAACAAATTCTCAGAGTGGTCCGTTGAATGGATGCTCCCGATCAATGTGGCGAAATATGCAACCATGCGCACTGGACAATCAAGCACAGGCTCCTACGAATTAGAGGGAATAACATTTCCATCAGTTCAGACTCACTTGGACTTAGGTGTCATGGTTAGCCACGACTTAAAAACTACAGCACACTGTCACGCGGTGGCTGCACGTAGTTTCAGGTCCTTGTGGGCAATTCGTGGAGCCTTTATTAGAATCACCAGAGATATGTTCGCCTCCTTATATACATCTCTGGTGAGGTCAAGACTGGAAAACCGCATCCAGGCTGCCAGTCCTTGTCTAAAAGGGGACTCACACATTCTAGAAAGGGTTCAAAGGAAGGTAACATGTATGGTTCACGGTATGACTAACTTATTATACGAGGAAAGACTAGACAGTTTAGACCTCTTCTCCCTGTCATACCATAAGCAGAGAGGAGATTTAATCACAATGTTAAAAATTTTAAATAACGACTGCGGACCTGACTTATTCTCTCTTTTCCTCCCTATCAGGTTAGAACACCTTAGAGGACATAGCAGGAAAGTTCAAAAGCCAAGGAGAAATCATATTGCTGTTGAGTACTGGTTCTCACATCGAGTCATAAACTCTTGGAACCGACTCCCAGAAGAATTGGTGTCTGCAACCTCAACTGATTCGTTCAAGAAGGGTTTGGACAACCACATAAATCTACTAGAGAAGGATTAAAATAGGCTCCAAGCCTTCTATCCTCAACCAATAAATCTGAATCTGGTCTGAATCTGAACACAAAGATATCACATTAGTTGACAGTTTCTCTTCAGTGTACGATTATGTACATAAAGCGTTTAATATGTTCACACAAATATATACGGTAGCGAAACGAGATTCAGATTAACAGAGTGCATGTGTCCCTATGAAAAATCGTAGGTAAATATAGCTGACATTGTATTCGCTAGCTTCAAACTTTGTTCAACATACTCAAACAAGTCACCTTGACAGGGATTCCGCGCACTTTGTCCTCAGTCACTTGAGAACGCTCGCTTTAGGTTTGCAATTAATTTTAGGTGGGTGAAATGTGCTTGATTCTGTGAAAGTCTATAATAGTATTCGGATTATTTATTATCTGTACTGAAACACAGATGCATGGATTTCATTTTATAGTGAATGCTTAAAATCCATTCACTAACAATTGCAATCTAAAACTCAAAAAATTAACAATAGAAATGCTCTAGAAAACTCATTTAAAAACTAATCTTAACATTAATTTGAACGGCTTCACATGAGCAAATTCACATACGCTAAATTACATGAAGAGATCATGCTGAACGTAGTATAGAGACACTTAAAAACAGTTTTGAGTATTTTCCGAGAATTTTCGTACTTCTGTGATTTCAACATTCAACTTTATCATGTCAGGTTAATGATTCAAACTTTGTTCATTCCTTCTTTATTGACGGGTTATTATTACATGCTATCGCATCATGTGTACCTGAATGTCTGGTTTATAAGTCAAGTAACAAACCTTCTTTTGCAGTACTCAATATAAGTGGGACATGGAAAGGCTAACTGTCGTTGGTCATAAGTGCCTACGTTCTACCTCCCATGTTAAATAGTAATATGGAGTGAGTAATATTGAAGTCATGCGTCGAGTGATAGGTAAGGAGGTAAAGGCTCTCGATGAGGTTGTATAGCTACATGAATTGAGATAATTAGGACATGTGTCATGCATGCCTGGTCATCGCCTTGCTCTATGTCTAATGTTAGCTGATATAGGATCAAGTTCGACAACAGCTGGTGGTGGTGGACAAACCAAAACTTGCAATAAGTCCATGAAATCCACGACAGTTTGAGTCACACAGGGAGGTGCAGATTCCTGGTTGGGGTCGTCGGGATGGTAGGTTCCGATCTCAAAGTGATGAAGTGACTCAAAATCGTCCTCAATGGTGTATATGTATTCACTCTTTGTGATCTACAATATGCAAAAAAACCAAAGTTTCTCTGTCACTATTCTTCCTCCCTCATATATCGAATTAGTATCGTTCTGGAGATGCTCGTTTTCCAATATGTTGACTTTTTTAAGCAACTTTCTGTATACTGAAACGAAACTCGATTTGACATATTATCTTCTATCAGAAATAACTCTTTTTCACAAATTGTGACCCACAAGATACATCTAGTGTATGATTTCTTGTATTGGATCATCTTTCGATAGGTTGTCATTTGTCTCCTCTGCTACATGCAATTGTATGCTGAAGACTGACTATGATTGCTTGAATGCCGTGGGTAAAACTTACACCTATACATTTGCTATGGTTGCAATAATTTAAAACGCCGGAAAGAGGAATACAATGATATTGCAACACATGAACCCATTTGAGAAAGGGAGTAATTTTAGAAAGAGCAGTGAATATATTCGAAATTTCGAATCTAACAGAGATTGAACACTACCGTGCGATGGCAAATAATCTGTTATCCTTTACCGGCATCATGACGAATCCATCTTGGAACATGAAGTCTCAATACCTGGCTCATATTAACAGTCTGAGATTTTGTAGGCTGGTTTGCCAGTTCTTGAAATGGAGTCACATATTACCTCAGCTGATGTCAACTCCTGCATCTTGTCTCAGATATGCCAATCAAATTTTGTTATGCGCAATGTCGTCCTGGTTTATCTTTGTTTTTTGAGGGTGAAAATGTAGTAATTCTTTCGCGGTAAGTTGGTGATAGGCTTTACAATTATTACGCATAAGCTTTTCGAAATTGATTAGGTGTTCCTACCGGTCAAGTCCTACCATTTAACATGAAAAAATAGTGTACTAGTGTATGAGGCAGTTCCGTATTAATCCACACAGCGACGTTATCCCATATATGATAGGCAGCGACAGATCGACAGAATTGGAAAACTTCATGGCTTATCATCTGGCTGCTATTTTTCGTGAAATTTAGATATCCTCACAATAGTTGGATAGTTAGTATAGGTTGCGATCTTCCTGATAATAGAAGTATTTTTCCTGAATATAACAAAGGACATTAGATATTAAGACTTTTGCTTTTATAGTAACTTTATACACGTTTGCGGCTAGCGAAGTGTTTGGAGATGTTGTATTTTCGGTTGCCTTACAACGCTGAGGTACTTAATTAAGCTAGTAGGCTCAACACTAAAGCTGAAGCTCTTATTTTTATGGCTAGTTTTAACGATCCTTAAAGCATGCCGTACTGTTTTCCGGTTGACGTGTATTTGATAATTTTAGAGAAGTCAGAAAATAAGTTAGATCAACTGAGTTTTACTAAAAGCTTTCTAACTTCCTTGTAGGACACTGTGCGCAAAAGAATTATGCGACGCTTATTTTGGAGAAAAAATAACTTGTTAATCCTTGGCATTGTGTGCTTTGGTCTAATGTTGATTTTATGGATAAGTACAGACAAGCCTGAGCATAATAAGGTTCATAAAGACCGTGCGCATCTGCCTGTTGACAAAGCACCAGAGGAGGCGCTTAAACAAGGTGGTGACTCTCAAGGACTAGATGCAGCCTATAAGTACCACGCGGAAAATCCAATTCCAAGACCAGTGGTTAATGCTCCACAATTTCCAAATGTCCGCCTACATCCGCCTATCGATAAAGATCCGGGTAAGTTATCCATAAAGTATAATAGGAATAATGTTACTCCTTATTTTCTTCTATTAGCATGTTGTTGTGATGCATCTCTTTCGTTAGCCTTCTTTTTTCACTCTTCATTATTCTTGTGTCTGGATAATGATGATCAAATGTATAATATCCCCTGTGAACTTAACAAAATTAATTGTAGAGGTTCTTATATTCTTATCGGACTGCTGCCTTTAGGTTTATTCTATAAACATTTACAGCAATAGGACTGCTCTCACTATTGTACAAATATTCTCATTAATATGAATTCGACTTCTCCTCGTTCTATCTTTTTGTCTGTCTTTATATGGCTGTATTTCCATTTCTCTTTTTCGGGGTCATTGGAAGATTTGAAGCGGTTTAATTCTGTTCAAAGTTTCCCAGTGACGTATTGGTCTTTATGTTTAATATTCCGAGTATCTTAAAGGTCTTTGTTTGTCCGATTTTATTTATCTTAATATGTGGTCACTGGTAGCTTTCCTTTGAGTAATTTTTCAAGGTGCTTCAATTGGAACAGTTACAGCTTTGTGTCATATTCCATTTGATTACGTTTGACTATTTTCCTACCTGTTCAAGAAGTTAATACTGGAATATTACTGTTGAAATTCATGGTCATATATGATGCACATCTATCCCATTGGAAATTGAACACCTTGTCAGGATAGTATTCACCTGAAGAAGATATACTGTGTCACTGCTTTCCCGTTCTTGTACGAACACTAGGTTTGTGTGTCTGTGATACATCTTATACATGTCCGAAATTATTGATTGTAGCTTTAATATTTCACATAGAAAAGGTTTTTGCTGTGTTTCATATTTGATTGATCAGAAGTTGCGCATCTTCACCATACGTGGTATTCCACTTATTCATTTCAGTGAATACTGGAAATAAATAGTCGAGGTGGAAAAAAGAATAAAAACTTGGTTGCATGTCTCTGTCACCTAATTCTTGTAGATTATGTAGCCTTTATTTGACAGTTTTACTTTCGTTTGTTTTCATGCCTGGCTACTTTCGATTTTTCACTCCCTCTGCTTATCATACCTACATTAGTTTGGTGATTTGAAGCATAACAAGATTTAATTTTGTCATATCCTAATCTGGGCTTTGATTATAATTATGGATTCATTTCATCTTTCCCTTTGTGTATCTTCTGTCAATCTCGACTTTGTTGTTTTGCATTCTTCTGTGTCAACTTGCTTGTCTCGTAGATGAATCGGCTCAACGTACAATGATTCGTGGGGAGCTATGAAGCTGTAGTTGACTGACTTGGACACTTGACTTTCATCTCAATGTCATTAACGAAGTCAAAACCATGTGCGTTTGATTGTTAGGTTGAAGAACCAGTATATGCTCGTTTGTCTATGAATAGCTGTTCTATCGGAAAGAGTATCCTACTATAAGGTTGGACAAAATCACAAATATTCAAATAAAAGGCATTCGGTAGTACGATATAGTGTACTGTTAATCGGCAAATATAAACAAGCCTATCAGAAGGGTTTCAAATAGTAGTTTGACGGATAAAGGAACAAGCATCTACGTTGGCGAAAAGTGGATGAGGCAGAAATGTTAATTATTTTTAAGGTCATAAAGAACGAATACATTGCACCATCTTTTAGGATTTTATGGTTTGTCACCGTCGGTGTTTAGCAATTCACTTTTAATTTTCTTGAGGTTTCCACCTAGACAGTCGGTATTTCCCCCATAAATTTGGGATCAAAAATCAGAGACACTACATGTACAAGTCATTTGGACTCGATCAATTTTTCCCTGTTGTTTAGTCAGCTGAATAATAATCACATAATTGTGTCAACTTTATTGTTTTTGCGGTTGTTATTATTATCGAAACACGAACATGACATTATTATGGAAACCAAGAGATACGCCACACAAAAAAATAGTAAAACAGCAATATCTAAGCAAAACAGAGAATAAATGAGAGAGGTCATCCAGTAAGCAAGTGAACATATTAGTCCGTGTCATCCATCATTCGTTATTTCATGTTGGCTTCAGAAAGGAAGCGAGAAAGAAGGAAATTGCAGCATATCTACCATTGACTGTGATTCTCAACCATATCTGATAACGTTTCGATCCACTGATACGAATTCAGACTACCAACTATAACTACTCAAATCGATCAGATGGACGAAGATTTCAAATAAGAATGAGAGACTTGAGAAAGGGAAAACATTAGGAATCGTAAAGTTGACATAAACAAAGTTGAAAAGGATCACACTGCTAGAAATATGATCGGAGATATAGTCTGTAACAGTGAGTGCATGATTACAGTCTCTCATGAAATCGTTGTCTGATAATTTACGCCAAATAAACATCGCTTTTTAACTTTTGTCCTTATAGTTCCTGGAAAGTACAACTAGACCTTGCCAATGAAATGATAATGATGATGAACTTCATTTTCGTGATATAATACCTCCTGCTGATGAACTGGAAGAAAATAATGCAGTTATTCAACCTATGGATTCTGACAATAAAGTGAACCTAAAACATGCCCAGCATGCTGAGCATAGTAACTCAAACGGGTTATCAGCCATTGCGAAATTGGGTTTATTTCCGAGTTCTCCACCTCCAAAAAGCGACGAACATTCAACCGGTCCTGGTATGTATAACTTTCAGCTGTTATATGTATATGTCTATATAGTTACACATCATAGAATTACCGCTTCTTATCTAATCTTTTTTAGTTTATGCCGATAGTTCACGCTTGGTAGATTTCAACAATCCAGAGAGGATATTTGTGTGTGTGTGTGTGTGTCAGATACGCTTTATAAAATACTGGTGATACTAAATGGGAGTCTCACTGTCGATAAAGATACAAATATCAGTGAGTATGATTCATTAGGATCTTGAAGTTAACATCTTTTGAGGTGTTTCAGTTTATGAGGTGATGAGCGTTCTGTCATTATTGTTATTATTATTGTTATTTATCTTCTTTAAAACACTAACTTGATACAATTTGCCCATCATAATATGCACAGCACAAATTGATAAAATAAGAATATAGGAAGGAGAGACGCAAAAAGAATCAAGAACAACAGAAGAGAAAATAATGAGCATGGTTGTGATGAACATGTATAGAAGTGCGTTCATTGTTTCAAATAAACTTCAGAAATAGAGGAAAGGAGAGGAAGTTGTAGGATGCAGGGCATAGATTTCGATTCTCTATTTCGATTTTTCATTTAGTCTCGAATCAACACTTTGCATCATCTGTTGTAACCCGCTCCAGGAGTTGTGGTGTCATAACATATACTAATCCAATACAAATGTCATTCAAATGTCGCACGGTGTTGCATTGTGGACTGACCACCTTTCCACTTTTCCACTTAGTTCCAGGGTTAGCCAAGAGTGGACAGTTTGGTAGACACTGGAATGTCATTCTTTGTGCACTTCTAGCCATAGAAGCCCGTGTCCCAAGGTGACATCAAGTACTATGTGATGGGGAAACACAAGCTATCAAAACTTAGAACAACTTACATGAGAAATTTTCCGGAAGGAAGCAATTCTGCAGGTCAGTTATGATCAGACACATAGGCGCCATACATCCTTAGCCAAAGACACAAGTTCACAGTCTGTACTTCTAAGAAATTGTGAAACCGGTATTTTACGGTGAGAATAACATCCTGGTGACGATAGGGGTAGCCCATGTTGATGTACTCTCGCCCAGATTTCACTACACAGATAGAAATTACACCGGTCACACAGTCAATAATCACATAACTACCATAATATGTGAAATCTACAACTCCTAATGGTTCGACTGTAAGAGAGAGGGAGAGTTCAGACACAGGTTTCTGCCAATCCTACAATATGACTAATAGTTCCCCAAGGTGTATGTGAAAAGTCGTAAAACTGTATGAACAAAGGCATCTTTGGACAGATACAGGTACAGGTAGACCAAGAGATTGCTTTACAACGGACTGTCAATTTACACTTTTCCATGGAACTCATCCAAGCAGACGTAGGATCGTTGTAGACCGAAATGTCTGAAAATACAAGCCTAAGTGAGCAGTTATCCAGGCCAAATAACGTTATTGACTAGGTATCAGATATCAAAGAAAGTAAAATTATCCTAGACCGCCTTATAGATATCATTGTTTTAGGCAGCAATTACACACACATTTCTTCTTACTAAGGAGTAATTTAACGTTCATAATTCTGTAATTAGTTGTAGGAAAGTGAGACACTAATAATGACTATCTACAGCATATGAATCAATAAAATCACATCCATTTTCCGAAATTTGTTTATGTTCTTTTTGGGTACAGGAAAATGTCTTTCATGTAGCCTTCCTAATGTGTATGTAGTTTTGTTAGCCTCTGTTATCGTATTGTTCATTTTATGTTTCATCGGTGCTAATGCTTTCGTTATTATTGCTATTATTATGTTCATTTGTTGCAAGCATACCATCTGGTGGTAGGTATTCCTGTCTCAATTTAAGATATTATCACTAATAATCATTCGTTTGATGATAAAAACGAAATACTGCATACGCATTAAACGGCTTTTTCTCTTGATAAATCATGTTTAATCCACTCATATGAATAATCGCCATCGTCATCAAAGGAGTCTAAAGTAGAAAGATCTCTTCGATCGTTAGTTTTGTCTGGCGAACGTGTTTCTCACAGTGACTTTTTCGTTATATCATGGTATTCTAGTAGTCATTCAACTTCCTTACTCGATTTTTGTATTCGGTGATCATATTACCCTCAACTAGTTTTACCTTGTGACATATGCAGTTTCTTTTTCATTTTGGACAAGGCGAAGGTGGTCAAGCGTACAAAGTGGAACGTGAAGAGCTTCCACCAGGTGAACGTGAAAAATTCGATCAAGGATGGAAGGTTAATGCTTTCAATCAATATGCTAGTGATCGTATCAGTGTTAGACGATATTTACCAGACTATCGAGAGGGAAAGTAAGTTAACTACGATGCTTTGAAATGATTTGGTTAGATATTTTAACGTCGAAAGTATACTATTTTGTATTTAGTTTTTTTTATACAGAATGTAGGTTGTTGGTGAATCAGTTTGTCGTTTGACTGGAAACAGGTAGAAACGTTTAGTAATTATTCTTTCTAGGATCTGTGTGTTGTGTATTCTTTTGATATCTTGTAGTTATATTGATATCTTATGGTTGATTCGTTCATGAGTTGTACTGCTAGATAGCAGGTTTTGCGTTTAGAAAACTCTTATTGATCTGATAAAGTATTTGGCGACAAAGTAGTATCACTATTATCTCACAGTGTAGTGTATGAATTTTTGAAGTCTCCTCCCTAGAAATTTTATAGTAGTGGTTGGTTTCTAAGGGTGTTTTCAGGTTAATATTTCAGGGGAGGGGTATTGTTTAGATGGCATTCACCAGACTCATTTCAACTCTGGACTCAGCCAAAGCGTATCAATGTAAGTGATAGTCATGGGGGTTCAGTAAAAGACTTGCATTCAATCTAAATCACGTTCTTGGATAGTTATGACTTGTTAATCTGTAAAGTCGTATGTCTACGCTGTAATGAATACTGGGAGAGAAATAGAAAATCTCTGTGAGTCCTGTTTGTTGGTGAGAATACTAAGACTGTGTGATTGCTGGAGAATGGCAGTGTTACTTCTCATGGAGAAGTCTGGTACCATTTCTACTCTGTTATAAATCATTGTGGGTTATTGTTTATTGCTATTTGGAGGGCCAGTTACAAAGTGTGTATGAATTCTATGAGGGAATTTGCTTAGAAAGATCTTTGGTTTTCCCCTTGTTACGTAAAACTTTTGATAAATTTGCTTATAATCCTGATACATAGAGGTAATGGGTTTTCTGAGCACTTTTATTCGTAAAATGGAAAACTTCTATTACAAATCTTTTACTCCTTATTTGTAAATTGTTATTTCAAGATAAGTGTGCTCGGATATTGAACGTGACCGTGAGCAGTGACGTAGTTATATGCCTCAAGCATTGTAGTTATTAGGTATTTTGATCAACTGCAATGGACTAGTAATCAATGAAATTTCAATACGGTCACACAACATTCATCATTTGTTTTTTATCATACTTGACCGAAAAGCTTCATCTATTAAGTAAACGTTACATGTACTGGGAATCAGTTCCCTATTTCCTGACGTGTGGATGGAAAACACGGTTGTTTAAAACAAATCTGTGAAGGCTGTAAATATCTGTTCTCTGACAGTTGTGTTTGTACAGTCGATAAATGAGCAGAGTGAAAGTTAGTTGTATAAATCTGGGTAATATGAGTAATTCAGATGAGGAAGGTGCGAATTTTTATAGTTCAAATATTTTGGAGGTATATTTGACACGTGGAAAGTTGCTATCCACTCCCAAAATAAAAGTAGAATGACATTTGAAGGAATATCTGAATGAAAAGATGAAGAAAATACCCCAATCCACTAAATCACCATCAGTCTCATCGTGTGAGGAAATCTAGATTGCCTGATATGGGTTTACGTGGATGTCATAAAATATTTTTAGAGAATTCAGGCTATATGATTCACAATCAGTTATCATGATACAAATCCCTTCATGTCTTCATTTGAGTTGTGGAGGCGTGGCTAATTGACCTTAACAGTCAGCCTTACTTAATGTTTGAACATGGAGCGTGACGATTCGAAGTGTAGTGTAGTGTAGTGTAGCACTGCTAGGTCTTGTGTTGATAACATCATTTGGTCAGCTGTCTATCTTCACAGCACAATGCTACTGAGGTTATTTAGATAGCGTTATCTGGTAATTTGTACAAATATTTAAGTAGAAATATCCTAGTCGTCAGCCTCCAAAGCCTCAGGATGGTCGGGGGTGGGTGCCTTGCGCTGCGGGTTGGCCACCCCTCCGCACACCTCTTGAAATGCTCCCATATGACCGGGCGTCTTACATAGCCTCTCCTGAGGAAGTCCTACTCACTGCCTTCACGTGGCGGAGGTGTTTCTCACCAAAGTGAGAGGGCGAAAGCGGATGCCTGGCGCTCTCCACCGGGTTGACTGTCCATTGGATGACAGTCTAGGGGAGATGGCTAAACCCTGATTCCAAACCTGCAACGATTGGCGTATGAAGCTCACTGGAGCTCACCGGCAGACGTATGGACAAAGGGCTTGTTGGATGTCCTGGATGTCTGGCCCCATTCAAAAAGGCGTATGAACCGAACTCCGGTCATCGGCTGCCAATGGATAGTGGACTCCTTACTCCACTCCTACTGCCTTGTAGGTCACACTTGGTTGTGTAAAGGCTAGAGCTGCACTCTCAAACAAAAGGCCGAGAGATTCTGGGGAAATCACTCGTACCAAATTCCCATGAAACTCCATGAACTCTCTTACAAATTGCCGCGCCTGGGCAGCGATGATTCGAGACGTTCATGAAGCCGGCTCATCCTCCCGTAGGAGATAGCCGAAGTAAAGTAAAGTAAAGTATCCTAGTCGTTACGGTGACTAGTCTTAATATGAATGTGGGATTCAAGTGATGGTTAGTTGGTTTCTTTAAGGCAGTGTGCCTTAATAATTGTATTTGTTAGAGAACTATTCAAGACTACAATGCACTAGACGTCTGTCTCGTTCTTGTTGTGGTCTCCTCAGATATGCGTGTTCGTGACTATCCAAGGGACTACACTGAAGGTAGTTAAATTTTGAGTCAAGAACAAGACCACTTTACCACTCAGTAGAAATACGTAGGTTAGTGAATTTCAGCCTTCCCAGATATAGAAACACCACAGTCATCGTTGGGTGAGGGAGGAAATCTTGTTTAGCCCCTTCAGTCACGAATTATTATCATTATAAGAGTTTCTCGAAGCTATTTGTTAATTAATGCTGATATGGACTTGACCAGTATCAAGTAACTTAGTTCGTTATTTGAAGACGGTTGGTGTGGGATAGATCTTCGAATTCGCTTCCAATTTACAACTTTCTTTAAACAGTTTTCCATTCTGAAATCAGCTCATTTATTATTAACGTGTTCATCGATGTACAATAAATAAATAAATAAACAGAGGAAAGTGAATGGTATTAATAATAATAGTGATAAAGGAGCATAGCAATTTGTTATTGTCATATAGACATTTAGTGAATCATCATTAGTTTGTCCATCATCAATGCCTGTTAGCTATTAATTAATTAACACATATTCAATCGATTGCATCACATTATTTATAACACTGTCCCACTATTAACTATACTTGAACTTTGTAATATTTAATGACGCAGTGTATGTGTATATGTGAAACTTTGAGTTGATTTACGTCTGTTTCTATATCTCTGAGGGATATTCGGTTGTAACAAGATTTCGTTTGTGTGTATTTGTAAAATAGATGTTTGAAGTGAGGTAATAAATGTGTTTGATGAATTCACTATTTGTCGAGTGGAAGTTTGTAGAGATTTTCCCGTGGATTGGTATCAGTTAGAGAATCATTGAAAAGCATCAATGTTCGCTAGTAACTGACTACAGGATATAGTTACCTGTAGAGAGTTCTAGTGAGAAGTCATGACCAGTGGGGTCGATCAGGTAGGGAATGAGGACAAACACTTGTCGATGAGATTGGCTGGTGGTGTTGTTAAAATCATAAATCGGCAGAAGTTAGAATTCATGGGGTGGACATTGAGTTAGTTGTGTCCTGGTGGCTGAATGGTCTAGCAGCTGGAGTTGGAACCAGAAGCTCCTGAGTTCGAGCCGTGGTGGTGGGTTCGTACTATCGGTTAGTCCGAAAATAGGAAGAGACAGATGTCTAGTACTCCGTGGTTCTCAGTGGTTCTCTATCTGGTATCAATCCGCGGGCAAACTTGAATTCATTATTGAACAGAGTGTGGAATTCAGGTGTAGTTTGTTAAGTGATTCGGTTGACGAATGTATCAAACCCCATTTGGTACATGCTTTGCACACAATCAATTCACTGTTTACATGAATGTTGTGTTTTACTGGATATAGTGAAGGGTGATCATCTTAGAATGTAGCATCGATAGTACTGACATGTCTGATTAGTGAATTAGTTAGCGAAGCCGTCTAGTCATTAGTCCCTTTATTAAATCCTAAGTACTTCATTGATTTGACGTTTTATTTCTACTGAGTGAGCGTTGTGGCTTAAGAGCTTAACTTCCAACCATTGGGTTCCTGGCTCGAATTCCACTTGACATGCCTTCAGGCTGTGCAACTGAGTAGCATCATGAATCCTTATTCAAAACGTGTAGCTCGTAGCCTGCCACATTAAGGATCTGTTTCGAGTAATTGAGTTCTAACGGTTTAATTTATGACATTAGTTTTGACAAAAGAAATACTCTGAAAAACTCTTGCCCATCAACCAGTTAGATACAGCCATCTCAAGAGTTAGCCTACCTGAATCAGTACACTTACTGAGGTGAATTGAAACACTCTGGAAGTATAAAAACTGTCCTCATTTTTGAAATTATCCCGAGAAAAGATGAGTACATTGCAGTTGGCTTCAAGTCAATCAGAACTAGAAATTCGTTAGTTCGTCATACTATCATTGTAGTCTTCTGACTTTTGTTTAACTTTTCAAATCAGCTGAATTTTTCTCAGTTCATTACATAAAATGCAACTTTTATTTTAGAGCAAACATCTACTACTTTCTTTTTCTCTCATGTAATTACATACTGTAGATCTCTGGTTATACTGGCTCCGACTTGAGTCAGTAACTTGAAGTGAGACGTTCTATTGTTGTCTCGGTTGTTTGGTAGATGCGTTCTCATCATCTAAAGTAGGCATACACAGTAGCATTAAGAACTTCCTAGCAGTGTTATTGCAACTATGATTCGTAGATTTATGTTACTTCCAAGGAATTTACAACTGTGTCAGTTACCATTGGACAATTTCTTGAAAGTAATATGCATATATATATGCGTATATATATGTTCATACTAGTTCACCTGCTCTTGTGGAGTTGAGTACGTTGGCTGTACCATGCGTCCGCTTGTAAAATGCACTCAGGAACACTATTCAACCTGGCTAGCAAACTGAGAGTGCAAGTGGGTACATAGTTCGGTGACAGAGCATTCGGTGTATTCAGGACAACCAGCTCCATTCGGAAAGTCCTTCTAAGTCATATACTAGTCCGATCAAACCACTCAAAGGGATTAAGATCAAGGCATTTAGGCATAAGTGAATCACTAGTGATCCAAAAGTTCAAACCCACGCTATGTATTCAAGAGAAATACATTCAATTATTGTCTCTACCATGGCTAACATAAAAGGTCAATTATTTCAATAGTGATTGTCGTATTATGTTTTTATCCGAACTTCCTGTCTAGTTTGTTATTATTACATTTTCAATCCCACAAATGCATAAGAAGTTAATTTTCTCAGTAATTATGATACAGAAGGCTAGTTTCGCATATGCTAGTTTACACCGTCTAGCGTAGACGTGATATCCCACTGTCGACCAAAGGACATGTGTACTGCTCAGCAGTCCGCTTCGTCCTCCTTTGTGGCTGTGAGGCCTGGTCACTGAGAGTGGAAGACATGAAAAGGCTGGTTGTCTTTGATCATTGGTGCCTGCGTTCTACCTACTGTGTGAGATTAAGCGTTGAGTTCTTGGTAAGGAGGGAAATCAATAGACGAGGCTGTGAAGTTACATCGACTGAGGCGGTTAGGACATGTATAACATACGCCTAGCCATCACCTTCCTTGACGGGCAGTATTAGCCGACATAGGGTCAGGCTGGAAAAGGGCTAGCGGTGGTGAAACCAAAACATGGCACCAGTCAATGAAATCCACAACAGTTAGTTTAAGTCATGTAGGGAGGTGTAGACTGCCTGACTGGTTGGGGTCCTCGGGACGGTAAACACCAATGGCTGGAGACAATTGGTGATATGGCTTAAAATCGTTCTCAATGGTGAAGATGCACACTTTCTTTTTGACTTATAATTTCGAATGAAACTACATTGTTCTTCGATATTACTATTCTTTTTGCCTTATATCTCTGTTTGCTGTCTCTATTTTGCGTTTCTTTTTACTTTCTTCTCTGGCTTTGTGTGTGCTGAGGGGGAAGTGTGGCGACTCGAACTGTTGCACATCGGTGCAAAGTTCTATGTTGAAACCAGCCAATCAGTCAGTCAGTCAGTCAATTTGGTTTTCATCCGATCTTCGTGTTTATTATTATACTTTAATCCCTATTTGCAATTTGTTGATATTTTGACTGTTGAGTGGGGATAGTTCTGTAGCTTTCTCACTCGTTTACTATGTCTACATTAATGTACAACCTAGTTGATCACTTTGTCCAGCGGGAAATGTTCTTCCCTGCAATCGTCTTTCCAAAGGGTATATATGTGCTATGGTTGATCCGTCTTTGCTGTGTATCCTAAACTGCATGGAGCTGTTTGAATGAAAGCAGGATGATAATATGTGCATTTAACACGTTTTAATGAGTGAATATAGAATTGTCCTCTAACTGATGTTAATCCGTGGTCAAACATCAAACAAATCGTATCTCTAATCAAGTTAATGAATATAGTTCACTAGCTAACATTATGTGATTCTCGGTATACTAAAACAGATTCATACATTTTTTTAAAGAAGTTTCGCTTTCTTTTTCTACAATTTATCATCATGGATAGATTCTAATTTTTGCTGTTGTTAAATTTAGGTGTAGAGTCGATACATACTCACCAAATCTACCGTCTACATCTGTGATAATCTGTTTTCACAATGAAGCTTGGTCAGTTTTATTGCGTTCTGTACATTCAGTGATCGATCGATCTCCAGCACATTTATTACGTGAAGTTATACTGGTTGATGATTTTTCTGATCTACGTAAGTTTTGATTTATTTCTGTGCGTAAGAGTGTTAGAGTGTTTTTGTACACTTGTTTCAGTGTTTAATTTTTGTTTGCATAAATAGACTTTCTTTTCACAATTTGATATTAGGTTATTCGGGTTACTCATAATAATAATGATAGAAAAGTTACTTATTCTAATTGGCAGTAGGACGGTTCACCTCCTTTGAATTTTTGATTTTAATCCCAACGTTTTAGTCTGTATTATCGACCGAAGTGTCAGGACATATTTTTTTGTCATGTTTAGATAATATCAGTCTATTCATCAGTCGTACGACCATTTCTTAAGAGAATGTTCTGTATTGAATAGGTTATTATGTAGTCAGGACATTGATATCCTCATATGTTGTCCACGATTTACACACTGAAATGTCACAGGACACACTACGGTTTACGTCAATTTATTATGAACGGATTAGCCATATTGTGATAAGCTTTATTAATTCAATCTTTCTTATTATTTTTTTCTGTGTTGTTTTTTTGGCGAAAACTTCAGCTCATCTGAAAGAAGCACTGGAGGAATATATGGATATGCTGAAAGTTGTTAAAATTGTCCGTACCAAACAACGTGAAGGTTTGATTAGAGCTCGAATGCTTGGCGCGGAGCATAGTACTGGTGATGTGCTTGTATTTCTGGACTCTCATATTGAATGTACTACAGGTATACCCTTGTTCTTTTACATACGATTATTAAATCTGACTGACCTTTGGATTTAAGTGATTCACTTTTCCTAGCACATTCCACCCGCCAGCAAACAAGCAAGCAAGCCAACAAGTGGTTGCAATAATAATAATAATTAGTTTTAAATAAGTATCAAGGTATACAAGTTTTCTTTTCCATTCCGTGCGTTCCGAATGGAACATCATAGAGCTTCAACTTTGAAGTTTCGGTAGCTATGGTGACCCTTTTACAGACTGGCATTGCTAGTGTCACTCCCAACCCTCTCTCTCTCTCTTCCCCTGTCATCCTTCCAACTAGGCGATGTTTACGAGTGAGCCAGCTGGGAATCGAACCCTGACCTCCTAAATAATTGACGACCATTCTACTGTTGAACCACTGATGCATTAAATAGTAATCAGTTGTAGTTAAATACTAATATATGCACAAATACTCGTTTTGATTCCCAAACTTTCAATGATGTCAGAAAGCTGAATTGTAACAACGTCAGTCTAGCGATTCCCTTTGACTGATTTTCTCCTCCTACCAAATAACTTCTTTTATTACTTCCTTTGTTCCTGAATGTTTTCATCGAGTACTTCAAAGAGTTAGCCAGAGAAATCCTAATCTAAGTATAGGAAAGTATCAGTGTGCTATCTTGTTCTGTTTATCTGTGAGTTGAGACGTCGTATTCTAAGGTGCATTAAAAGTTTACAATATCTGTATATAACAATGTTCATTCATGTGCATTGCAGTAGACTGTAGTAACAATAATTATCATTCATCAGTCTACAAAATATCTGTTTACTTGCAGCATCGTAAGTCTAGTCTAGTCCAGTCAGCTTTGTGTTTATATTCATGTGAAGAACACTTTATCTCTGTCTTCGTCAATTTAAAATATGAAGTCATAACAATACGTCTTGTTTATATATTATTATTAGTATTATTTATTAGTAGATGTAAGGAAGGATACTAATCAGACTGTAATTAGAGTAAAAATGAAAGTCTGTCGATAATTGAATAAGTTTCATTTACGATTTAAGCTAGTCAGTTAAATAATTCATGTCTGTTTTATGCATATATATATATATATATATATATTATATATATGCATAACCAGTGATTATTATTTCATGATAAGTTTTCTTTATGTCACTCCGCTGGTTTTTGTTCGAATAGGCTTTCTATATATTGCAATTAACCATTTGTCATGGATTCATCCTCTGATATACTGAGTAGTCAATTTCATTTTGGCGCATATATTATCACTTTCTTGATATTTTCAATTATCTTCATTTAATGCCTGCCTCTTATGTGCATCTGTGCGTCGGTGGTTCAGCAGTAGGCTGCTTACCAACCATGTGTGTGGTCCGGGGTTCGATCCCCAGTCGGCGCACTGCTTTACCTCAGTCGGTTGTAACCCTGACAAAGATGGAAGGTTGAACGTGGGGCTAGCAACTGCATCCCGTAAATACGTCACTGCTCCTGAAACTTTACAGCTGAAGCTTGAAGCCGTATGTTCCACTCGGAACGCAAAAGGATCTGGGTTGGTTGCAGTTTTATTGCATTTCTGCTTTTCCTACTTCTATGTGTGGTTTTCTGAAATGTATTGACTTGAGGTGTTATGTATTTTTGCTAAGGTCTAAATGCCCAGCTTAGTTTCTGAGTCATATGAGGAGCAACATTTAATTTGTGAAATGGAAACTATTATTTTTTCACTTAATAGCGTTATTATTATTACTTTGGCTAGCCAGTGGAACACAAAGCTACAGCAGCACACCGCTATTTCATCGTGCTCTCTAAAGTCCATTTTTTAGCTGTCTCTTCAATCTCAAATAAACTATCCTCTCCTCCTGGCACGATCCCAACCATATGGCTCTTCGATCCACGTTTAACTCTTTATTTCAGATTCGGGTTCCACTCGATGTCTTATTTCGAGCGTGATTTCATTCAGTGATCTCCTCAGTATACGTTCAATCCTTGTAGATTCTCTGCATATTTGTTTGGCACAAGGTACTTGGTTCTTTCGCTCCCAGAAACTCTTGATGCTGACCGTTTTCAGCCATCTGATCTTGAGCATGCAGCGACCGTAACCGTTGATGTAGGTGTGAAGTCTGTTCTAAATGGTTACAGTACAAAGTCCTTCAATCACACAGAAGCACTATCACCAAAATAATTAGTTGAAGAGAAGGTTAACCTAAAACGACAAGGCTATGCTTCAGTCAAAAATACACTTCCACCATTCAATATCTGCGTCGTCTAACAGAATTAGACAGTTAGAAATGGATAAACTTCTATGTGTAGTTGTGTACAATTACAAGACTAGACGTACATTGCAAAAATATCACTTCGAATTACCATGGATTTTATAAATACTGTAACTGTACTACTACACAGCCTAATTGTCATCCTTCTTCGTCTTTCAAAGCGCGGCTTTACAACGCATTAGCCAACTACTAAACAATATCCTAAACATTGGAAATATCCTTTTATATGGTGTATTTCTTATTATTATGAATGAACAATAATAATCATAATCATACTAATAACGATAAAAGAAAGAACTGCTCAAAGTAAAAGAAGGTATGAGAAATGCACAATTCCACGTCACCGTCATTATCATCAGTATAGAAAACTTGTTAATAATTCAGTATCTAGAGCTGAATGACAATTAAAGGAGTAAACCAAAAATTAGAAGTTCTTTCTTTTCATACAACAGATGGTAGATACATAACTCACAAGACAATGCACACCACAATCAGATTAGACGAAAAGTCTTCATTCCGTAAATACTCAATTGATTTACAAGTGTACAGTTGACCAATAAACAAGACATAGTAATAATAATAATAATAATTGTAATACATAATGAAATATTATTGTTCTATGCGGGTCAATAGAAGTTGAAAGCCTAATTCACTCATTCACTCATTCATTCATTCATTCATTGAAACTAGAAGTATTGATTACTTACTGAACGATAGAGATAGTTTCTTTACATTTTCGTATCTATACACGACTTAACCATTGAACATTGAATGTAATCTTTTCAAACAAAAATGTAGTTGAACCTATTTAAAATAAGAGATTTTCGTATAAATAGAAAAAAAGCTATCAAGAAATCAATAACCAAGCTGTATGATGACTGTGAAGATGAAGTTTAATTAAGATAAATGTCACATAATGTGGAACTATATTATTTTGTATAAGATACTTGGGTGAGTGGAAGATCAAACACAGTTAAAATGACTTCGCGATTGTGATTACTGTTGTGAAGTTTATTAGAAGCCGATTTATTGGAAGGGTACAATGTAATGAGCATTTACGTGATAAAAATCAAGTAAAGATCCTCGTTATAAGTCATTGGAGTATGAATGACTTCATACTGTCTCATATGTAGTGTTAAGTAGGTATTATGAACGGAAATCATGAAGTTATCACTAACAACTTTCTAGTGAATTTAACTTTTCATGTATTAAATGATGACAGTTAGATGAGGAAATCGGAACTTATTTATAATATCGTCTTAGAATCGAGCACACGAATACATTGCACACAGGAGACTTTTGACAGTAATGTTTGACTATCATTATTATTATTACTGTTATTCCCTTGGGTTGGGCATAAGGCTGTAACAGCAAATCGCCATCTCATCCTCCCCTCTGCAGTCCTCTTTGTCTGTCTCCATGGTTGCCCTTAGTCTCTCACTTTCTCCTCGCATTATTTCCTCCATATCACACTCAGATGCCCAACTCATTGTTTACCATTTGGGTTCAATTTGAGGGCCTGATTCACTGTGTCACCCAATGGTCTCCTCAATGTGTGTCCAATCCATCTCCATTTTCTTTGACGTCTTTCCTAAGCAACAGGCTTTTGATCGGCTCTCTCTCAGAATTTTTTGTCGCTAATCCACTCTAGCCATCTGATCTTCAGTATGGAACCAGCAAAAGCAAGAATAAATAAAAGAATTCTGCAGCAGCCTCTTGAAAATGATTTTGGTGATGCGCCAAGTTTCTCACCTATACAGAAGAACTGGCTGGCTAAACATTTGTGTTGCTTGTACTGAGTGCATTAGATTGCCACATTGATTTCAGATTATTTGTCTGTCTTGATTTCCTGATCCTTATAGGTATTGATAACCTCATCTGTGCCTTCTGTAATTGAAATAATACCGTCTTTATAAATGAAATAGGCGATTTCTTTTAGATTTCTCCTGTCTATACTCACTGATGCATATTATTCTTGGTTGGTTAGTTATCTTCAAATAGGTTCAACTACATTTTTGTTTGAAAAGATTACATTCAATGTTCAATGGTTAAGTCGTGTATAGATACGAAAATGTAAAGAAACTATCTCTATCGTTCAGTAAGTAATCAATACTTCTAGTTTCAATGAATGAATGAATGAATGAGTGAATGAGTGAATTAGGCTTTCAACTTCTATTGACCCGCATAGAACAATAATATTTCATTATGTATTACAATTATTATTATTATTATTACTATGTCTTGTTTATTGGTCAACTGTACACTTGTAAATCAATTGAGTATTTACGGAATGAAGACTTTTCGTCTAATCTGATTGTGGTGTGCATTGTCTTGTGAGTTATGTATCTACCATCTGTTGTATGAAAAGAAAGAACTTCTAATTTTTGGTTTACTCCTTTAATTGTCATTCAGCTCTAGATACTGAATTATTAACAAGTTTTCTATACTGATGATAATGATGGTGACGTGGAATTGTGCATTTCTCATACCTTCTTTTACTTTAAGCAGTTCTTTCTTTTATTGTTATTATTATTATGATTATTATTGTTCATTCATAATAATAAGAAATACACCATATTAAATGATATTTCCAATGTTTAGGATATTGTTTAGTAGTTGGCTAATGCGTTGTAAAGCCGCGCTTTGAAAGACGAAGAAGGATGACAATTAGGCTGTGTCGTAGTACAGTTACAGTATTTATAAAATCCATGGTAATTCGAAGTGATATTTTTGCAATGTACGTCTAGTCTTGTAATTGTACACAACTACACATAGAAGTTTATCCATTTCTAACTGTCTAATTCTGTTAGACGACGCAGATATTGAATGGTGGAAGTGTATTTTTGACTGAAGCTAAGGCTCGTTCTCTTCACGTAATTGTGTTGGTGAAACCACCTTGTAGTTTGTGGAATAGACTGTGACATGCAGAATATACTTCCTGATGTAAGAGATAATGCTATACGAATATTTGGACATTCTGAAAGCTGTATGCAAATACATCTGGAGTAAATTCAGAGTTTACTGTCCTTAGCCATCCATAGGTTTAGACAAGTTTGACCACTTTCAGTATCACTTTTTTATAATGTTGGCTTTTGGTGACATTGAGAAGATAACTCTGAAGGGGATATGTGTGGTGGATAGTTCAAATCAGTTGTCTCATGACAGTCCTCTTTATATTAAATGTGCAGAATATATTGTGGTACTATGGTGTAGCATACTTCAGTTGCAAGTAATCTGGTTCGCCATTGGTATCTGTGTTCAGGAGTCGTTAGCTTGAGACGATAGCAGTGCTGACAGTGTTGCAACTGGAGGAATATTCGTAGTGGAAGGTTGTTGTTTATTTTACTGTGGTGAATGGAATGTGGTTGGCAAATGTCGAATGAATGAGTTCCAGGTACTGATAGACGCGTGTGGGTAGTTGGTACTTTCTGCCTGTCCACGTCGGATATTAGCGGATAATATTCTTGATTGCGTTTTCTCATGCATTTTGTTTAGATGGACAGTGATCACATACTTTAATGAAGATTGTTGTTTGATTTCGAAACTGTATTGCTCAGAAAATTAGTTCTACAACTAGGATACTCAGGTCTAAGTTGACTATATCCTGTACTGTCAACATTGTTTTCTTTTTATCGATTTTCCACCTGTTTAACTGCTCAGACAATCAGAATTAATTGTGTATTATTGTTTCTTGCAGGTTGGCTTGAACCACTTTTAGAGCGTATTGCTTATAATTCGTCAATTGTTGTTGTTCCTGTGATATCAACAATAAACGATAAAGATTTAAAAGTTTATACATCTAAACCTAGAGATGTTCAAGTTGGCGGTTTTGATTGGGGTTTAACATTTCGTTGGCATGAACAGACTCAACGTGACAAAAATAGACCTGGTGCACCATATTCACCTGTCAGGTAAGTGATTGGTGTTTCATTCCGCATTTAAGAACTGTTTGATATTGCTAAGATTGTTCGAAAGTGAATTCCTGCATCTCGTTTTGCGACAATCTATTGAAAATGTGATGAAATTATTCTATTCTATTTATTATACGTGCGTCGGTGGCACACTGGTAGAGTTCTCGCCGACCAATAAGGTGGTCAGGAGTTCGATCCCCAGCCGCCACACTCCTATACTTCGGTAAGCCACTAATAAGACTGCTAAAGAGGGAAGGTTTGGCATGAGCATAGCAACCACATATTGTAAAAATAATCATCACTGCTTTTGATGTGGTCGTGTTCTGTTAGCTTGATGGTTAATTTGCGAAGCTTTCATCGCCCTACTAGGCGACATCTTCAGCGCATACTTCAGTCTGTTGAAGTGAGCTTTAAGATTCCTCCACGAGTTTATTATTCATCTCTCTGTTGGTCGGTGACCTCGGACGTGGTTGGTTGTTTGTGTGTGTTTTCACACCTTCTAGGTTACTTGTATTGTAACTGATTGTTTCTTTGGCTTTAACTTTGACCCTTTGTGTGTGAAGTTTCTTTCTTATCGGTTGATAAATTTTGTCTGTCTCAATGTATCTATTGATTGATGATTCACTGGAATGCCAAGCTTCTAAAAATTCTCTGGCTAGCATTCTTGTTGTTTCCTCTGTCTAATATTTGAACGCTGGTTGTCCCTGTCGAATTGATGTCCGTGGATGTCTGTATGTAGTGATATGAGCTAGGGAGTGGATATCATGTCTTTTGACAGCTAGCTTATGATCGTGGATACAAAGACGAAGGGGACGTCCACTTTGGCCAATGTAGTGTTTTTCTCAGTTGTTACAATTTATTTTGTAGATGATGTTGGTTTTATCATCTTTCGCTGTTGAGTCTTTTGGTTGACATAGAATTGAGTGAAGTGACTTTTTCGGTTTGTGTACGACATCGATTCCTAAATGTTTGAAGAGTCTTGTAGTGATTTCTGAGATATCCTTTATATATGGTAAGGCGAATTTCTTTGTACTTTCCTTGGGGGCCTTTGACCAAGCCAACCTATCAAACCAAATTCAAATTTCCATGTATTTTGAAGTGATATACATCTCATGTATTTTTGCACTAAAATCTAATCCTAAAGTCTCTACCATTCAGTATTGCGATCTCGTAGTATGTTATGATCTTTCACTCGCGTTGATTTTTGCTACCAGCTATTCTCTCTGTCTGTATATATATGTTCTAACAAAAACGGAGTTAAGTATTCACTATGCCATAGCATACATTCGAAAAACTGACGGTATCCCCCTTTAATCGCAAGCTACCAGCTGGGAAACGAGCCCGGACGTTGTGTGTTGCTGAGAAGCACTGTACCGTTAAACGATCGGCGAATGTTTCACGATACTATGCATTGCGCTCAGGTGGTTATCATCGAACTTCAAAACCATACTAAATATCGATTCATTCTGGTTACTGTCACCGCTTTAAGTTCATTCAACTGTTAAGTGTTCGTGAGCACCTAGTGTTTATTTTAAGTTGCGACATAAGTCTTCTAATATTTATACAAATGTGTCGATAAGACTAGATGTGAAGTGTACGAGACATCATAAATCAGTAAGGAGGAAGTCTTGAATTTAAGTTTTGTGATTTCCAGTTGTCATTAACTAGGTATTTGTGGTGTGGGGGCGATCCTGATGCTATTTATGTTTCTCTTGAGGTTCCAAGCCGTTTCACCCTTTGGTCAAGTTAGGGACTTTTATGGCAAACTGAGATGTTAGTTGTTTGTGTCGGCTGTCCACCTATACAATTTATAAAATGTGATAACTGTGAAATTATATGCAGATTGAATGTTTTAGTGGGACAGTGAAATACGGGTTATCTGAGTTACGTGGCATTTAAGTTAGTGAGTGTCAGTTAGAATAGAATTTGGAGTTAAAACTGTTATTTTCCAGTGATTTTTATAAAGGATGATCTCTTTTGTTCAAAATACATGAGGAGATTTCGCTTACCTTTTTGGTAACACTAGGTCACACTTAACGTCTCATTCAAAGAACACTCAGTTATTTCGAACAATTGATATTTTTAGAACTATAGATCATAGATTTACTAAACCATGAGACTGGATTCCATGCATCCGTGACCTGTACATATTTTAGTAATTTCAAGCTATTAGGCCATCCATTTTAAAGTTTCGTTTAGTGGTTAACGATAGTAGTGTATCCGTCACATAAAGTGTGACAACTCACTTTCAACAAAAGGTTTGATTGATTTTGATGTAGAGTGGTGAGGTTTAACTCTACAATATTCATGTATGCCTTTGCTCTTGTTGAGAGGTACTCACCAGGTCAGATATTGTTTTAACGTGGATACAGGATGGTAAAATTTGGTTATCCTGATTATACCCGATAATGGACAGAGCTCCTTTCTTCTCCACGTTGTCTGAAAACTAAACTGTGTGTTCATTGTTGTTCCACTTCACTTAATTCATCATATTAATTCATCCTCACTTCTTAAAAAATTATTTTGTTTGAATTCATGTTTGTCAGTTAGAAAGAATAGAATAGGCGTTGAATGAACCATTTGAGATGTCATTTTATTGAATGTGTCTTATTATTCTTTTTTTCTCTAACATCTCCTTGATCAGTATTCACAAATTTATAACATCCTAATAACCATAATTATTTTTTCGATTAATTGTGAACAATTTATCGTTGGTGATTCAGTCATTATTCATTCTCTGAACTGTATTTTATTGTATAGTGTATGCAATTTATTTGTTTCGATTAATGATAAATGAAGCAGTTTGAGATGAGTAAACTGATAGTTTCAATGTACACTGCGTCAGAAATTAGGGAAAACAAGGAGCTTCAGGTCTGTGCTTCACCGTAGTTTGTAATTCTTCAGAAATGAGTGCCTATGACCACACTTGAGATCGAACGCGGGACCTTCAGGCTACGAGGCCAACCAAGCTCGTTGGACATTCAACCACTTGGATAGGAATTCAGGGACCTGTGAATTCCAGTTTGGACACTTCGTAACATAGCACTACCGATGGGTGCACACTGATGAAGATTCCTAAAATAGAAGTGAATAGCTATCCAGTGGTGCTTGGTTTTCACTGACTGCCTAGCTGATATTGGTTTGCAATGAAGTCTACATAGTGACTAAGTGAAATGTAGTCGAACTTGATAACTGGTGACAAGTTTGATCTGTTGAATTCATTATATGACCTTAAACTCTGAACTAAATTGTAATTTGAAACGAACAAAAAATAAAAACAACTGTCACATTGATTTATTTTTGGAATAAATGTCTGTATGATATGCAACAATTTGATGCAAAATGAGCATGATTAGATGATTTCTGGAGTTTGATGAGTGTCATTGTGTGAAACTAATTGTAATAAGTGTTAAAAAGCGTTATCATCTATGACGTGTATGATTTTTATCACATACAATAATATATACATATCCATCATAGAATAATTTGACTTGATACATAACATTCAGTGATACAGTATTATTTACTGATGGCGTTTCAAGTACAATTTATTGTTTATAATCTCTCCAAGACTCTGACAAGACATGAACGTCTAAACTTTGTTCACATAATTCCATTACTTCTTATCTTTTATTTCTATTGGTAGTAATATTTTGTATATCACTGATATTGGCATCGAGTCATTGTTATTTCATGAGTTGGATGTAGATTCGATGACCGAAAATTCAGTGATCGATGAACCTGTGTTACTCTCTAGTCCTTTAACTCTGTTTCACCTTATTGTGGACTGGCTGTCACTGAATGCCTTTAGGTTTCTGGGTTTTTGTCTGAAAGGCAGTGGAATTATATCAATAAGGTTTGTAAGTTCTGTGAGTTCCTTGATATGACTACAGGCGATAAATTTTGCTCTGAACGTCATCAGTAAATAATCCTGTATCGTCGCCTGTTTTCATCAAACACAAGTATTCTATAATGGGATTATACTTTACCAAAGTGTCCAAATTCCATTCTGATACAACAACTATTGATCATTTAGATATCACATATCACATATAGAAATATCAAACCGATTGGGTCACAAATCCCAAAACTATACGGACGCGTAAAAATACACAAACCAGGAGCGCCGTTAAGACCCATACTCTCTATGATAAACTCACCATACCACAGACTAGCACAGTGGTTATGTGAACTGTTGCAGCCATTGCTGAAACGTTTCGGAACACATATAGTCTCTGATTCATTTCAATTTGTCAATCAAATTAAAGATTTCAATGTATCCGATAAGCATTTGGTCTCTTTCGATGTTACCTCCCTTTTCACAAATGTGCCAGTCGTTGAGACTATCGACTTCATATGTAAAGAAGCTGAACACATACCCATTCCAACATCGGAATTGAGGAAATTACTACTTTTATGTACTAAAAATGTCCAATTCCAATTCAACGGGCGTCTGTTCCGTCAAGTTGATGGTGTCGCAATGGGAAGCCCTTTGGGACCACTTTTCGCCGACTTATTCTTGTCACGCCTAGAAACCGGTGCTTTGCAGCAACATATACAAGAAACGGATGTATACCTAAGATATGTTGATGACATTTTTATTGTCTATGAAAGCAGATCAAAAGCGGAAGACATGTTGATAAAATTCAATTCATGCCATCCAAATCTCATTTTCACAGTAGAACACGAGGAAAACGATACTATGAAATTCCTAGACGTTTTTCTAGCCAAAATGAATGATGGCACAATCGAAAGATCTATATTTAGAAAGTCTTCATGGACAGGACAGTACATGCATTTCAAGAGCTTTGTCCCAATCCAGTACAAAAAGAACCTAGTCAGAACACTGTTCAATAGAGCACGAAAAATGTGTTCTGACAGTACTATTGAACAGGAAATAAAATCTCTGAAGGATATTTTATCTAAGAATGGATATCCTGAGAAGTTCATTAATAAATACTCTAAAGAAACTACCCCCTGCAAAACAATTCAAACAGTTC